TAGTTGTCAGAGAAGAGGAGCCTATAGTAACCACCTTGTTCAGAATACTATGGAAAGGTGCATGTAGAAAGGGTGCTGATATACTGCATACAATAATTATTTAGGTGCACTGATGTTTAGGTGAGTAGTGTGTAGCTTGAATGTAGTAGTAGTATCTCAGGAGTCATAGCTACTGACTGCAGAGTGCACTCCTCAAAGGAGGAGGATCATATTAGTGTCAGAGCTACGACCAGTCTCCGGAGGGAATACTCACTATTGAACACAATTGTCAGTGTACAGACATTCACCTCTAACAGTGTGCTACCTCAACTTTGTGATGCAGTTACAGTCCCCTAAAACTTTGTGGTAAAGACAGTGCAGTTTGCCTACACTTTGAAACCAGTCAGCTCCATGAAGTCTGGAGACTTTAGGAGAGTGGTTAGAACATGAACTGGGGAAGCCACCTCATATAATCGCAGGGACACACCCTCGTCTTCCCCAACATGTTCAGAAGTCATGTACAGGACATGTAAATCACACTTTCGTCAGTGGTTATAGCATGAAATGGGGAAGACACCTCAACTAAATTGCAGTGACCCACCCTCTCCTTCCCCAATATGCTCAGAGAGTTCATGTATAGGCACATATGGTTACATTAATTCTTCCTTATAGAACCAACAACATTGAAGTGGTTTCCTGTGTGCAATAGATACATAGACCTCTGGTAAATGTCATCCGTCAAATGTCGGTCGACATGAGGAGAGTACCACTGCCACTGCCCAGTGCCCATACTGCTGGCTGTATGAGAAGACAGGGGTCTGGAGCAGGTGTGCCAAAGACAGCATCTCCATGTCAGCTCCCCAGGTGCCATCTTGGTCCATACCTGTGGAAGCTGTATAACTTTGAATACCGTCATAGCCTTATGAGATGGTGGCCTATGAAATATTGGGCATTATTTGTCATGTGGTCATGGATAACATGTCGTACACCAATATGCTGATCTGCAGACCCTGTCAGAATGTAAGAAAATGCCCGAAAGAGGCAGTTACCATCTCCCTGTACGCGTCTCACACTACGGTGATGGGGACAGTGGGTCCTCCTGGTCTTACTGGTGTTTGTGTACAATTTTGGAGGCCCAGCTCTTGGCATGCACTTTGCTGCCACCGTGCATCTACAGAGTGGAAATTGAAAGGAGTAGCAGCAGGTGTTTCTGTACCTGTAATAACACAGTCCTCATTATCCCTTGCGGATATGGGATTGACCTTGACCTTTTTTACACTTGGGGAAGCAGTTTTTTTGGTCTACACCGGTGAGCTTCCTCTTTCTTCTAGAGACATGTGGTATATCATACAGAGGAAGATGAGGTCTATGGGTTTCTCTGAGGTGGTGTACTTCCCCAACACTACAAAAACAATAAGATTTTCTGGTGATTTCTAACTGTTTATGTCATGTTGGTATGAGGTATTCTGATGTTTGTACGAGTCAAAAATATTCTGATGCAGAATACCTTGCATCAAAGGTATTATGACTCAGTAAACTCACACTATCTTTCACGCAACATATTCTGCTCATTATTATTGCAGAATGATTAGTATTCTGATGAACGACTGTAGGTAACCCTCAAAAAGTGATCAACGGCCCTAGCAGTACAAGTCACAACTGTGTTAGCGAAGTGGAAAATGCCTCCATGGTTTACACCTTGATATTTAGCGCACGGTGGAGAGATAAAGTTACTTGGAGCATGAGTATCCAGTACAGCATTGCTCCCTACCACTGAAGATGAACGTAGCTTTTACTTTTGCCTCGGCCCTCTGTCATTGGTGAGAAGGCCCAGCCCATCCATAACCACGCATGCGTATTGTGCACATCAAAGCTTTTGCGACGAGGGTTTGCACTTACAGTGCTTTTCAACCCAGCATCGTGCCCAATCCCCTCCACCACAGTCAGAATGACCCGGAATACGGGGGATCAAAGGCAAACGATATACCAACTATCAAACGCGGCGGCAATAGGCGTCCAGCCCCCCCAGATGGACTATATAGGAATCGTGGGATCAAAGTCAAACGGAATATAACTGCGGCCACAACCAATCGCAACTTACCAGAAGTTGTCTCTCAGCACTCTTCAGCAGCAAACGGGCGGAACAGCAAGCGTTGTCCTAGCCAGAAATGATCAGGAATAGCTATGTGGATAGACCGCCTAATAGAGATGAAGACTGCTCAACATACTATGATCAACACAGAGATCAGAGAAATTTTTCTGGGTATCACACACACGACGAGACTTCCAAACGGCGGGCTAAACTTCGCGCGCATTCTCACCCAAATTACAAGTGCGCTTACTTACAAGAAAACTAAATGCCGTGGGTTGCTAAAGGTACTACACGTCGTTATGCATGTTGCGTCGTTATGCATGCAGGTCGTTATGCTTCCTCATATTTCTCGCCATGTTTTAATCATCAGCATGTTTGTTTGTGCGCGAGAGTTTTCTGGTAAAACACATACCGTTGTGTAGCGCTTTTTGCGTTCTATTATCGTGGTGTGCGTGAAATAGTAACTGTTATCCCATAGAAGTCGTGAAGGTGAGAAGTTCAGCGGTTGACGATAACAATACGCTGACCGATGTTTGGTACTTTTAACTGGCGTATAATTTCTACTAAAGTTTGCTTGCGCTATAGCTGCGTCGGAATTTCCTGCCGATTTTTATATACGAAGGTAGCATGATACTTACGTAGGAAAGCTAGCAGACCTGCGTGTGTGGTGGGACCTGTTGACCAGAGAAGGACCTGACTTCGGCTACTTTCCCAATCCATCCAAGACGTGGGTAGTAACAAAGGAAGGCTGTCACACTACTGGGCTCTCTACCTTTGCTGGCACAGGGGTGAATGTTACATCCGATGGCAGACCATATCTAGGTGCAGCAGTTGGCTCAGCCGAGTACGTGGAGAGTTATGTGAAGTCGAGGGTTGACTCCTGGCTATCCATGGTGCGCAACCTAACAACAATAGCAAAGACTCAACCACATGCAGCCTACTCGGCTCTCACACATGGTTTCTCAAGCAAGTGGACCTACCCATGTCGCACAGTTCCCAATATCAGCAACCTACTAAAGCCGCTCGATGACATCTTGCGTACCGAACTCATCCCAACACTTACAGGAAGGCCCCCACCTAGTGACCTGGAGTGTGCCATGTTTGCCCTGCCAGCAAGAATGGGTGGACTGGGAATAACAATCCCTTCCACTCAAGCCGACCAGGAACATCAGTCATCCTTACTGGTTACCTCTGCCCTCCAAGACCACATCACACTACAAGATGAGGCCTACGGGTATGAAGTCATTGCCCAGCAATTGGAATCCAAGGCCATTGTTAGAAATAGAAACAAGGAAAATCGTTCAAAAGCCGCCGGCGATGTGCTAGAACTTTTACCAGACAACCTGCAGAGGTCGGTGAAACTAGCAAGCGAGAAAGGATCCTCCACTTGGCTCACTGTCCTGCCACTTTCAGAGCATGGCTTTGCCCTGCACAAAGGAGCTTTCCACGATGCCCTGGCATTACGGTACGGCTGGACACCAGAGAGACTTCCTTCGAAATGTATCTGTGGTGCCTCTTTTTCAGTTGAGCATGCTCTGTCCTGTGCCAAGGGCGGCTTTCCATCGATCAGGCACAATGAGATACGGGACCTGACAGCTACCCTCCTCACAGAAGTGTGCAAGGACGTGTGCATTGAGCCAGAGCTTCAGCCTGTGAACGGTGAAGAATTGACGGGGTCAACTGCCAACTCCCAGGAAGGTGCCCGCCTTGATATCGCTGCAAATGGTGTCTGGGGTGGTACCTTCGAGAGAACCTACTTCGACGTTAGGGTATTTAATCCCCATGCCCCGTCAAACAGACACACCAACCTGCAGTCAGTCTACAGAAAGCACGAACAAATCAAGAAGCGTGCATATGAACAGCGGATAAGAGAAGTTGAACACGCTACCTTCACGCCTCTGGTGCTCTCTGCTACCGGTGGCTTGGCCAGGGAGGCCAACACTTTCTACAAAAGACTCGCCTCCATGCTCGCCTCCAAGTGGGACCACACCTACAGCCACACTCTCCGCTGGCTACGTTGTCGTCTAGCCTTCTCCCTTTTACGCTCCTCCATCCAGGCCATCAGGGGTGCAAGATCATCATGCGGACATGCCATCAGAATGCCCATGGCGGTCGATTTGATCATCTCGGAAACACACCTTGTATCACTCTAAATTGCTCTCTATCTTCTTATTTATACCTGCATTCATACTGTATATAATACACGGATTATTCCCTAGTAAAAGCATGATACTTACAGGTGAACGTAGAAACTCCACCAAACACCAAAATCCTAATACGCAAGAAACCCTACCTAAGCCTTTAGTCAGGGGTACTGCAACAAGCTGCATTCGAAGTGCATGGATTGTAGTCTCGCAACTTAGACCTATATAGACACTCACCCAGGAGCGAACGGTCCGTCTCCATTATGCGCAATGGTGTTCTTTCTTCTTCCTGCGTCACGCGCAGGCGTATTAGAGCCATCCCGAAAAATAGGCGTGGGCAAGTTTTGAGCATTACGTTTTCACGTTGACCTTTGCCACCCGGTCACGCCCGTTTTTTTCTATAGCGCAAAATTAGCTTCCCGCGTACCGAAGCAGGCAATGAAAGCCACTGCGCATAATGGAGACGGACCGTTCGCTCCTGGGTGAGTCGCGCACGGGTTTTCTCTCTCCCATAGAGGAGGAATATGAATATGCTAATAAGTTTGGAAAACAAGGTAGGAAAAATCCGAGAAATAATACCTAAATTCACCATAAATCACCAGCGTTTTTGCTGTGCCATTGAAAACAATATCTGAAACATACGCCCACGCACAATTCTCCGGGATCTTAGTCCGTCTGGACCGCGCAAACGAGGCTACTGCTCACCCTACTCAGGGTTCCTCATCACGCAAGCGCATGCGTCAATTGCTTGCCTTCATAAAGGTTTCTTTTACTGCTGTTATCCATTGGCAGATCATGTCTGGACCATCATCAACGAAAAAGCTACTTTTCGACTCCGCAGCGGAGCAATTTTCCCGACAGTCAACCCTGCTACAGGCGAGAAAATCATTGGTGTGGCAGAGGGAGATAAAACCGATGTCGATATAGCAGTAGCTGCTGCCGAGCAGGCGGGCAAGCTAGGGAGTATTTGGCGCACTATTGATGCTTCTGGGCGTGGACGCCTACTGTACAAGCTCGCAGACCTCATCGAACGAGACCGGCAGTACCTGGGACGACTGGAGACACCGGACAATGGAAAACCTTACTCCGTTGCCTACAGTGTAGACCTAGATCTCACTATCAAGTGTTACCGCTACTTCGCTGTCTAGGCCGATAAAATTCACAGAAAGACGATTCCTACGGGCGGAAATTTCATGACGTATACGCGCCTCGAGCCCATTGGTGTGGTTGGCCAGATCATTCCCTGCAACTTTCCTCTGCTAATGCAGGCCTGGAAGCTGGGCCCGGCACTGTGCGCTGGGAACACGATCGTCATGAAGCCGGCCGAGCAGACGCCGCTCACTGCGCTTTACGTCGCTGCGCTGATCGCTGAGGCTGGATTTCCACCAGGGGTTGTCAGTATTATCCCTGGCTACGGTCCAACGGCAGGGGCAGCTCTTGCTTCACATCCAAATGTTCGGAAAATCGCCTTTACGGGGTCGACAGAAGTCGGTCACGCCATCATGCAGGCAGCTGGAGAAAGCAACCTCAAGAATGTGACACTGGAGCTGGGAGGAAAGAATCCAGTTATCGTTCTTAATTATGCCGACATCGATTTGGCCATCGAGACAAGTCACAACGCTATCTTTTTTAACGAGGCCAATGTTGCAGTGCTGGCTCACGCACGTACGTCCATGAGTCCATCTACGATGAGTTTGTGAAGAAAAGTGTTTCTCGGACGAAGGCTAGAAAAGTAATGAATCCCCTGCACCCCGACTGCGAGCAAGGTCCACAGGTCGGTAAGGAGCAGTTGGACAAAATAATGGACCTAATCGAAATTGGGAAAAAGGAAGGTGCCACCTTGGCTTACGGTGGAGAGAGAATAGGCGAAAAGGGCTACTTTGTCCAACCGACGGTCTTCACTGAGGTCCAAGACGACATGTGCATAGCCGAAGAGGAGATTTTCGGGCCAGTCATGCAGATTATGAAATTCAAGACAATCGAAGAAGTTATCGAGCGGTCTAACAACACCAAGTACGGTCTAGCTGCCACGGTCTTAACTATAGAGACCTAGATAAAGCAATTATGGTGTCGCAAGAAATCCAAGCCGGTGTCGTCTGGGTCGACTGCTACAATTATTATAAGTGTCCAGCCCCCGTTTGGTGGATCGGGCAGTGGTCGAGAGCTTGGTGAGTATGGTCTTCAGCAATATAGCGAGGTCAAGACAACAATTATCAAAGTATATACCCCAGAAGAATTCTTGAAGCTCCATACAGACCACGAAAGCAACGTAGCTAGTAGTACACAATAAAAATGTTTCCCCCATTAATGTTTACCCTTCGATATAGCTTGATTATTTTTATAAATAAAGTACTACGTTCAAAATTTGTGACGTGAAAACCAAGTGAACAAGCTAATAACGCACTGGCTTACCTTCGACCGCATTTCGTACCTACATAGGAGACATCTGAAGTTACAACTGAGGACGATTGTCGATTCTGTGTGCACGCCGAGGCCAACAGTACGATAATATTATTACTGTGGCATATTTGGGTATTCCGCTCTAAAGTGGTCAGCACAGGAACAGAACGCCTCCGAACTTTAGTGCACTGTAAAGTTCCGTCCTGCAATGCTGTCTGAGCAAGCTATTGATAAACCATGCATATTTCCAAGGTAGAACAAACAGTAAACATACATGGAGTAAATATCTACTGCTGATCACATTATAGCTACAAAATTTCTCAAAGAAACCCAATGTTCCGTCGCAGAGAGTGGGAAAGGGAACATCATGCCCGAGAGACTTCTGAGCAGAGAGGCTCGTTTGTATCAGCGTCGCTTTCGTGATAGGGAACGCGCAAAGTTTTACACGCTGCCTAGCTGTCATATCGATGCGAAATATAGCCAGCCAAATAACTCTCGTCTATTTGCTGGCATTCGCTGCGCTCTTCGATACCTGACCGAGGCTTTCTATACTTCCTTCCAATCTTCGCGATTCTAAGGTTCAAGGTGTAGGATGGCTCGTGCAGATAGAGATTCATTGTGTGCTCGCTCCCGCTCGCCAAAAATGCCATGCATTCGCCTACTAGTAATTAGAGTGAGCTAGGTTCGAATTGACCAATCAGATTGCAAAGCCGAGGTTTACTATTTCCCATAGTAAACCTACAGAAACTACAAAACCTACAGATAAAACAGGAAAACATAACAAAATGTACATGTAAACAACAAGATCAACAACTGGCATTGACGCGTCGTCCACGCGCACGCGCAGATCCCCCTGCGCGCAACCAGAAAAAGAAGGCGGAGTCGCTACCGCTTCGCTCTTCTTGCACTGCATTTTCTGGCGCTCTGAGCCTGTCTCCATCGAGTCATCGTTAGACGCGCTCGGCCATACGAACGAACAGGAAAGCCAGAGCGCTCAACGTGAAGCGGTCACTCTAAAATAGTTACACGCTGATTTCTCGGTAACTACGCGCCGATAGAAAGCCTCGTGCCCCGGAGGTAGCGCCGTCGCTGCGCTCGGGGCGCCACAATGCCGGGGCTCTCGGCTTTCTACTGCGCGTAGTTACTTCGAATCAGCGTCTAACTATTATTTATGATGGCATGTTGACTCAGCACTAGACCTCTATACAGCTCTCCCTCCAGGCAAGGAATGTCATCCAAATACCTGGAGTAAAGAAAAGCACTAAACTGCAAACCTTCGGCAAAGAACTATGTTCATGCAGCATCTCAAGAATTAAAAATAATAGCAACTTCACCTAGCTCACTTGGGAAATGGTTAAAAACGAAAGCTAGACATAAAAAAAGTGGTAAAAAAGGTGTGCATCAAAAATCAAACTCGCTGTATACGCAGCATGCATGCACAAAACGTAAGACCTTCACTTCTATTCTGATTCAGACATCTTCTGCAATGTGACTTCTTTGATAGACTTTCCTTTAATTATCCTCCTAAACCACAACCCAGTCAGTGTATACTTCAGTATCTGATGATTGCTTCCTACTATATACTAACAAAGCACACTGCTAATTTATTGAGTTTCCTGTTGCCACACTGGGTCTGAAGTTTCACACACTACTGTAACCACTACAAATGCAAATGCAAGTGCAAGTGCTGTTTCCCATTAGTTGCAGCTGTTTAGGTAGTACATTCACTAACTCTACTACCTTGAAGTGTTAATCCTGAGGTTAGTGTGCTGGGTTGTGAGCGTGGAGGAGAATGGAGTTCTCATTCTCGAATCCTACATCCCATTTTTCAACATTTTACTCACCTCATATATTACAACCAGACAAATGCATGTAAAGTGTTATTTTCAGGTATTTTACTTAAACAAGTAAATTAAAAATGAGTGGAGACAAGTAAATTAAAAATCCTGCAAATTAAAAAAGGGCATATAGGGATGGTATAAAAAGAAAGGGAGACAATATGAGATACATGAAGCATGGTTAATGAACAGATTTAGTATGCCGACACCCCAACCCCATTCACACAATCCCTATATTGTTGCAAAGGTGAAGTATTAAACATTCACATTACAATACTCAGAACTAACAATACACTACTGAGTAACCAACACCCTTATAGAGTGGAGTTTATTAAAGGGAATGTGGCAGTATAAATACAACAGGGACACAGTGAAAGAATGCTTGCTTTTAGTAACCTTTAGCCCTTATAAGAGTAGCACACCAGGGAACAATATAGGGATTGTCTGATGGGGTTGGGGGTGTCAGCGTACTCAAATCTATTCATTAATCATGCTTCATGTATCCCATCCCTATCTTGTCTCCCTTTTATACCATCCCTATATGCCTCTTTTTTAAATTCGCAGGATTTTTTATTTACTTCTCTCCACTCATTTTTACATACTAGCTACTACGTACTATCTCTGTGGAAGGGGGCAAGCCCCTATAAAAATTAATAATAGAGAAAAAATGCCTGTTGTCGTCGTGGAAATGATAATGCATACCATGTTTCATCTCCATGTGTGCTGCCATTAGCAAGTGTGAGGAGTGAAGAAGTAATGAAAAGTGCCTGTGGCTATTTGTTGTTGTGGTCGTCATGTAAACGATGTAATACACATGACCAGTCTCTTCAGGTGATGGATATCTACATTCTTACAAACTTTCACCACTATATGTTATTTCGTTTTTGAGTTACGCGAGTTCAATCTGAAGAAGGAGGAGAAGATGTCCCTATCATAGTCCAATACATCTATGATGCTAGGTACCATGCCAATCCCTATATACTAAGTACTACCGTACTTAGTGATAGTAAGCCAGCCTTCCCCTCCTGTCCTCTTTTCCTCTATCCATTCTGGCACGTACCACTGTTTCTAATTAATGTGCAAATATTCTTCAGCAAATATAGTGCATTCGCATTATTATCACAGCCAGTAGCGATATTTTACATAATTATTTTGTATATAGTCCGACTTAAAAATGCTCGCGCTTGGAATATACGCTGTAGCTATATTATTTTGAGCTGTGGGCTGCCAATACCATTCACCATTAATTGAGGAAGTCAATGCACCTAGCAAAAGAAAATGAAGCTGAGGAAAGTGTCCAGGGCAGGGCAGACAGCCTGACAACTGGATCACCTGTGTTATGGGGGTTCTCAAACATAATACAGTAAAGTATTAGCATGGGATTGAAACAAGTGTCCTTTGTAGAGAGGTCGTCTCTATCTCAGAGGGTCCTTTATCGGTATGTAACTAACACAAGGTGACCTGCACCAGCTTGTGAGGAATTTAGTTTTAAACATCATTGCTGGGCGGCATACCGGGGACCTGTCGTCTTTCTAGTGCTTGAGTCTGCTCATCCTGCGTTAACGAGTGGGAGCAAACAACGCATGTGTTTGGATAAGGGATAGGGGCCGCGGCGTTCGGCGCACGCTTCCAGCGTGTGGGTATTTCCAAGTCAGCAGTTGGCTCAAAGTCCTTTTCTCTACGCTGAATATATACTCATGCAAGACTAAAGAGCACTGAAGTGAAACGTTCGGCGAACTGGGCAAGTGCGATACCGCTAATTGATGGGCTGGGCCGTATGCGTATACTCGTTGTCTTCCGCTAGTAGCTCACGGAGAGTCTGGCTGGTTACGATAGCATGCGGGAGTCGATACACGTCCTCCGTTGAGATTCCTCGAGCCTCCAAGGTACGCAGAGCAAGCACGTGCTAATGCTTCTTTTCGCGCCATCTTTGCGCGCATGCGTATGATTGAGCAGTAGACCGCCTTGTCTGAATGCGGTTTTTTCCTATATACTTATCAAGCAAGCGAGACAGCCGAGTTAGAGCACAAGTGTTTGGACACAATACTTCTCTAATACCTTACCGTTCCTTTTGACAGTCTGTGGAACTCCATGGATCGTTTTTGCGCAATGTTTGTGGGCGTCGCCCCTGGGCTGCACGACCTTTCGACCTCTGGTTTGCTGATTGCTTGACAGCTGGCCCTATTGTGCTACCGGAGGATGGGCTACTTCCTGCTGTGCACGAATCGCTTCCGCGGTAAGCTAGCTGTACTGCAACCGGCATGTCGCCAAATGGCGCATTGGGCCCGAAGTGTTGTCGCCAAATGGCGCTATGGACCCAAAAGAGTTATAGGCTGTCTCGTTGCGCCTAGTGGCAGAAAACGTGGTAGAATACACACAGACACACAGACACACAAACCCTAGGCGCGCATGCGCAGCAAGGGTACGGTAGTCGTTCTGTGTGTGTAGTCTGTCTGTCAGCAGCGAGTGCGCGACGAGGCGGCCCGTTGAGCGGATACCGACGTCTCAGACGACGCGATCCTGAAAAGCATGTTTCCTGAAACTACTGCGCTCGAGAGATATGCCGTGGAAACACGAGAACGACGCGAAAAAGCCAATATGCACGGGCTTCCGCGACCGTGATCCGCTCGCTCTGGTACCTGGGGGCGCTCAGGAAGAGTCACAGACGAAAGAGCATCTATCGACTCCCGCAGTGCGATCTACTACGCAACTAGCCTCGTGTCAGACTCGTCCGCGAGCTACTACCACGAGCATGATCGAGCAGTCGCGCGCTATCGCGCAGTGCGCCGAGTTGCCACGTGCAGTCAACCAATGCACTCAGATATTTTGTTATAGCTTAATATGCTTGCATGGCTATTGATGAGAGGTATGCTACTACAATGGTCACAAGTAGAACATGATGCAGCACATTTACTTGTAGTTTTTGGAGCTTCGAATACTGACTGCAAACATGAATACTCTTTTACACGTGGTGTTATCCAGTGCGTTGCTGAGAGTGTTAAAATAATCTATTAAATTAGGTCCGATACATCAAATCAGTTCTTACTTGATACTGTGATATTGTTCAGAATTACTAGGCTAGGCTTCATGAACGTGTGTCTCGGAACTGACCTAGGAAGCGGCTGGAAGCACAAAGGCGTAGAAGTGGAAGTGATTAGAGTGAACACAGATGGCTGACACCTTACCTTAAAAGCATTCCGGGAAGTCTCCTAAGGGCTGCTACATTTTCTAACAGCACTAAAGTGTAGCTACACCTAGACATAGCAGTGAAGATCACCTCTAATGCCATTATATATACACAAATGGTAAATTTTCGAACATATTATATGCTGAGATAGCTATAGCATTGGATTTTCAGACACGTTATTATGACACAGGAGAGAATAAGCATGTGAGAACATAACACATATAACTATTATTTTTTAACTATACTATCAGGTCAATAACTCCATTAGAAGAAACACCGATTTAACTAAGTAGCTCGCCACTAGCTATCATGCTAACATTCAGGAGCTACCAGATGAGAAATGCTGTCAAAAATGAAGTGAAGAGGCTCCCTTTCCCGTCGATAAAAACATGTGAAATTACCACCGTTGTTGCTCTTTGCCCATTGCAGTTGATGGCTTCTACAGTTACAGTTTCTATTTCTTCTTCTGATAAAAACCCCTCATAAAATGGATCACCTGGATAGTGTTTAGATTACACTAAGAGCACATAAAAACTGGTGCAAAATATCACAAATCAACCCTGTTTTGCTTAGCTACTATACATTAGAGCGTCATCGGGCATCTCACTTGATCCTCTTCAAAATGAAGGGGGGATATAGGGATGGCTCAAAGCACAAAAAGGAAAGAATGAAAAGCACTAAAGTTGAAAACCCCCGGCGGATAAACTAGCGAGTTGTAGCATCGCTGTATGCTGGGACCGTGCGTCATCGACGGAGCCAGTAACACGAATCTCACCGTAACACAAGGTAGTTGCATTAGCGGTCTAGAGCAATAACTCAGGTGTTTCAGAGGCTCTCATTTGCTTTATTCAATCTATCTGCTTTCTGTGTTTCAATGCTCTCGACAGACGTTTTATAGATGGGAAGGCCAGGCCGCAACCACAAACTGCTCGCCACCTGAACTATTATGCTACATTGAGAACATACCTTGCTCAGCATGTTTATATATCCATTGAGAACAGAGATCAAAACTGACAGAAGCCCGTGGATTGTACAACCAACGTGGCGTAGCGTATGCTCCGCCGAAAAATTGAGATGACGCTAACTGATGGGCTGGGCTATGAGTATGCGTTTAATCGTGGCATCCACGTTAGTGGGTTGCGGAGAGTCTGATACAGGCTACATAGCTATACACTTTAAGATAGCATGCCGATACACGGCCTTCGGGGTGACTCACCTCCACAAGGTACAAAGAACAAGCGGATCGGTCGAAGTAAGCTGGTGTAATTATGCATATTGGCTTTTTAGCTTGTTTTAATGGCATGCGCGCCGAGGGCTAACAAGCCCCCCCCCCCTCCACACACACACACACACACTGTCAATGTGATGCTCGTAAAAGCATCTGAAAGATCCTTATTTTTTTCCCCCCTCTTCTATCCTTTACAGATAGCTATAGCTACAACCTTACATTCTATCGAAGGTTCGTCGTGACAGTGCAGAAGGTGCCTTGTCAAGTGCGGATAATTCCAGTCTCAGTACCATCAGTACCAGCTATCCGGATGGTACTATCAGTGTAGTTGACCGACTCGTTTAGGAGTACAATTCTACTAATGAATTCAAAGTCTCCTCCTGCTTGCCTCTTCTTGCGATGCCAAAGATTGTGCTGCAATGACAATAGAAAATGCGGTAGAAAACATTTGCACATGCACATTACCAGAAGGAATAGAGTGAGAATTATACAAGTACATAACTGGGTCTTCAAATTCTGCTCAGAACAGCCAGTTTTTAATTTTTGTGTTAATTATATCTTCAGTCATCAAATTATTAAATTCAGTCTTTCACAAACACAAACTCACAAAATTTGCAATCTTCCTCATTCTCAGGCCTGAAGGATATTCAGGGAAGATAATCCTTGTAGGTGAGACCAGAGTAAGTGTCCCTCCTCCTTCTTCCACGACCTTCATCTGGGGCTACAAACAATCATACAGACACCTCTAGTCTTTTTGTTGCAATTCAGCAGCAGCTAACACAGAATCTTGACCAACAATCCTTTTCCTCAAAGACTAGCTATACATCAGCTTAAACCAGACTTAAGCATTTTGTGTATTAGTGTATGGGTGTTATCTTGGAACACTGGATGTTGCAGACACTGTAGCTACACATGTAACGACAGATATCCAATGGAGTGTTTACTGCATAGCCAATTGCTACCTAGGTCTTATTGGCAACCGAATACCGTTGCAGCACTGCAGTGGGATCTGCTTGTAATTGCACTAACATGATTCCAAACATGAAACCAGAATGAACTGCTCCCTCCATTGACGACAATGCACGGGTTAATTATACTGTTCCAAGTACCTAACGAAATACCACAGTCACACATGCTAGCCATGGAGCATTACTGTTATCTTGTGGTGCAGTTCCCCACCACCACTATCAGCAGTACACACGGAGGAGTTTAAATCCATTGGTGTTAAACAACCTGTGGAGATATTTAGTCATTGGTTATAGATACTATTCCCACTCTAATAATGTTGTGTATTGTATCTATGATGGCATACAAACAGTCACCTCTTCGATCCCTATCTTCCTCTCTAAGCAGATGACATGTATCTCAAAGCCACCAAATTTCTTTTCTTCACTTGTGCGGAAGATAACAGTGAAACTCCCTGACTCCAGCTCTGACATGGCGCCATTTGAAGAGTTGCCACATATCTCAGTAGGTCCGACGTGCCACGATCAATAGGATGTAGTCCTGACACCTGCGGAGTGAGAGTTTCTTTGGACGCCATAGGTAAAACGCTCTGCCATTAATGCAAACCTGACTGCTAGAAAAGCTAGAAACCTAGTGGTAGCTACGAACGGCCCGGAATTATTCACATATTGTTGGCGAGCGGGAGCGAGCCAACCTAGTCGTACGTTCGAGCGGATTTTTCTATATATGATATGTCGTTGGTACGTCGTGTAAGCGCGAATGCGCGGCTTCTTACGTGCTTCTTTTTATCAAACACATTTCACACACACACGCTGCCTCGCGATATGCGCCGATCGATCTAGCCAGCCAGAGAATTCCCCTCCCTGCGATGCAACCTTTGGTGACTGACCAAGGCTGTATATACCTCTTCCCAATCTACATGGTTCGAAGGTGCAACTTCAAAGTAAGCTAGGATTGCTCGTGCAGATACTGCTGCATGCCAGCTGCCTGGTGGACCACGACTTGAAAGCATAAGGTAAGTACCGTTCTGCTCACCGTTCTGCCAATATACTAGACAGATCTACCTGTCGCCGTTACATGCGTATCGAGCTGAACGGCGACAGGTAGATCTGTACTGCTTCACGAAAGGAAAGCTCTGCGCTGACGGCACGTTATGCAGCCTGAACACTGCGGCCAAATCCCGAGTTGGGTCGCTCCTGCTCGCCAACAATGTTGAACATTTCCACTAGTATATATCTACGACCGTACGTCGTCCAATTGCGCATGCTCCAGGACTATGCGCTTGTTTTTATCTCAACGTCTTACATGCGGCCTGCCCTGTCATAATGTCGTGTAGGTCGTGCAGGCGGTGAATAAGCGTGTGTGTAGCTCTGTACTCTCGCACTAATGGGATCAGTCCAGAGAAGATGCCCTTCGTCGTCGAAGAGAGAGGGAAAGAGAACGTTGTGCCCGTGAGACTCCTGAGCAGAGAAGAGCTCGTCTGTAGTATCAGCGTCGCTTTGCTAACCGTTCTGCCAATGTACAGTACGCGTGTAACGGCGACAGGTGGATCTGTCTTGCTTGAAAGCTGTGCGCTGACGGCGTTAGCAGCCCGAATATCGCGGGAAAATCCCAAATTGGGTCGCTCCCGCTCGCCAACAATGTTTAACATTTCCACTAGTACTGGAAATGTGAAACATTGTTGGCGAGCGGGAGCGACCCAACTTGGGATTTGCCCGCGATGTTCGGGCTGCATAACGTGCAGTCAGCGCACATCTTTCCTTTCGTGAAGCAAGACAGATCTACATGTCGCTGCTACATGCGTATTGCACATGGGCAGAACGGTGAGCAGGTGAACAGAACGGTACTTACCTTACTCTTTCGGCTCGTCAGTCGTGGTCACCAGGCAGCTGGCATGCAGCCGTATAGTGCACGGGCAATCCTAGCGTATTTGCAGTTGCACCTTGGAACCATGAAGATTGGGAAGAGGTACAGCCTCGGTCAGTCACCGAAGGTTGCAGCGCATGCCGTCAAATGGAGGAGAGTTCTCTGGCTACATCGATCGGCGCATATCGCGAGGCACACGTGTGTGAAAATGTGTAAAGAATTTGGAAATAAAAAAGAAGCGCGTACAAAGCCGCGCATGCGCAATTACACGACGTACGACGTATATTATAATAATAATAATAATTTTAACGACCACTAAAGAGCCAGGGTGGCTCACTGGTCACCTACTATTGTGCATGATGAAAGAATGATAAATAAATGAGGATACGGAGTGGTTCACTTGCAGGTGTGTATGGCTCAGTAAAAATACTAGTAGGCGAATGCATGGCATTTTTGGCGAGCGGAAGCGCGCTTACAATTGGGGTCTAATCGTATGAGTCACTCTTGTGTGTGCACAAAACAGTGAGATACATTGCACAGGACCAAGTAGGCCGAAACGACCCGAGCGAAGTAGACAATTCGAGTCGAGTCAAAAACAGTCAGTCGACAGCGCGAATCAGGCATAATCCGGCAATCGATTGGTCTTGCAGGAATAGGGAACAAGTGGCAATGTAGAAAAAATCTCTCGCTGGACTGTGCAGCAATACTCGATAGCTTCGGAGGTGTTGCGTTTCCCCTGATTCCGCTCGATTCAGGCACGCATATGAAAATGTTGAAATCCCTTTCGGATAAAAAGAAGCGCGTAATACTGGAGCATGCGCAGTTGGACGACGTACGGGTCATATATATAGTAAAAATCGGCGCCTTTCGGACCACTAGGTTAGCTCGCTTCCGCTCGCCAATAAACTTGTGTCCTGGGACATAAAACGATAGAAAGGGAAGGTGATTTTCTACATTGTTTTCTATTGTTGTTGCCTCTTTGATGAAATTGTGGACACACACACAAAAAGTGATATTCATCTTCGATTGTGTCATCAGACTGTACTAGTCGATCTGTTACAGGGAGAGGCCTGGCTTATGGAACCTTCCTACCTCAATTGCCAGTGGATGTGA